TATGTACTGAGCTATACATGCAAGTAGAATCTTATTAGCATGTATTCAAACATGTTTTCTGAAGGCAACCCTTTAAGGACACTATTTATTCATCTATGCTATCCCTGGGGGTTCTGTTCCAAACTTGAGATTTATGACAGTGATTCATTCTTTCATTCATATGAAAGTACTCTGATTGAAATCAAAATTCTGATTAATTTCAGGCGAACCAGAGAACTTGTATTTATAAAAAAAAGTTTCAAGGTGATTGTGAAGCTGCTAGCCCTCAGGTCATACCTTTGGAAGCAACAGTCCAGAGTATTTGAGGAAAAAATAAGTAGGCTTTCTTCAAAATGCCTCGAATAGGCATCTTCTGAGAGTGGTTGAAGTCTCGGTTTTTCCTCCAACCGGCACACAGAGAGGAAAAGTCCTCTATGAAACACGAATGTGAACTGTCTGCCTGGATCAGCAGTGAAGCTTGAAGCAAGCAAGAGCAATAACACACGACCACGCGTCTACGCAGCTGTCTCGCATGTGTTCCTAGATGTAGAGTAAAACCCCCGCCTCTACGTCATGTTGACAGAAATGTGCCTGCAGCTCTGCTGTGACGACCCCTAACTTTGACTTGTGCTCATCTCAGCACAAAAAGTTTGCAGAATTGTCAGGTTCAAACATACCCAATCTCCATGGTTAAACCCTAGCGTATTTCACACATTTTAACGGTTTCCATGTGGACACCGTTAAGGTTGCCTGGAATTTGGAGATAAGCCCAGGATTAGTCCTGCTTTAAAGTCATCATGAAACCTTGTTATAGAGCTCAAGTTAAGTTGTTAAATGTATTTCCATGAGATTAGTTGGGGGAAAGCCACACACTCACTCACTCCAGCAAGATGAGCTTCAAATAGCAAAAAGAAAAAAAAAAAAAAAAGGAAGGGGTTGTGGACATTTTACCTCCAGGTCTGGACTTCAATGTTTTAGAGACAGTAGGCTTATTTTTTTTTTTTTTTGAGGCTAAAACAGTATCTTTTTTCACCAGTCTTGCCATGTGAAAAGGACTTAAACTGAGAAGTCCTCAGTAGGATATTGAATTAAAAAAAAAAAAAAGAAAGAAAGAAACATTTGAGAACTAGGTCAATCCTACTTAGGCAGATTTTTGAGAATACCATACAGTAATAAGACAGAATTATTCACAATTACAAAAAAATTCAGTGTTTTCTTTATAAGACAATTTGCCAAATTTACTGCAATAAATAAACATATTAGAAATAGGCATATGCAGGTGACATTGTCTGTGTGCTACTAACATAGCTAAAATATTGCCATCCTTCATTTTTCCCTATGTGTCACTATTCTTTTGACATTGAGTACCCAAAATATAGGCTAGGGAATTTTGATTAAGTCTTGTCAAACTTTTATTGCCTTTGGCTGAAGAAGATTTCAGACTATTCAGAAGATGTACGCTGGTAAGGTGTGAGTTTGCATACTGAAAGGAAGTAGGACGGAAATGTATTACTGAAAATAAAGTATAAAACTTCAGAAATAATTTCCTCAAGGAAACCCACAGATTTCCTACATCCTCATGGACTTTAAATTTGCCTAGCTTACTTGTTCTGAGTTTTAAAGAGTTTGAAAAAAAAAAAAAAGCTTTAAGCAAAATAGGATTGCAATTTGTGAAATTATCCCAAAAGTTGATACATGCTGATTAATAAAATGTATATATGCTGTTTTATATTCTATTTATGTATCTATGTATCATCTATGTATCATCTACTATCTATCTCTATCTGTCTGTCTGTCTTCCTATATATATGCTATTAGTCATAGAATTAATAAAATATCCATGTAGACATATCAGATTCATAGAAATATGGAAGTAGCTCTTGCCTTGGGTGATATGGAAGTGAAACCAGCATTAGAAAATCTACCTTATGTTATCATGGTAAAAAATATTTTTGGAAAATATTACAACTCCCTTGTAATTCCACTTGTATAACACTGACAGAAATCATGATCTCCATTTTTATTAAATTCTTTGGATTTTATTCAATTAAAATGCTTGTAATGAGTTAGTAATTTCATATGGGAGGTTCTTTCTGTTTAAGTACTCCAGAAGTTTCCAGATTTATGAATTATCAAAATTCATCATCACATGTATTCCAGATGATTTGCTTCTGGAAATAGCTAGATGAAAGGATAGATAAATAACTTTGTGGAATACATTTGATGAAATAAAAATACTGTCTTTAAAAAGTATGGAGATCTCTGCATCTGCTTTGATACACTGGCAGTAGAGTCTTTAAGTGACCCTCTGTAGTAGGCTCCTGTCCTGTTACTTGTTTTCTCCTACTTCCAATGTCCATTCCAACATTCAATTTCACTGGTCATCAGAAAAATGTATATTAAAATCATAAAAAGGTATGGAGATCATTTTAGACTCATAGGAGAGTATGTGGTAAAATCAAATAGATTGTATCAATGATAAGCTCTTTATTCTGTACTTCCTCTGGGCATTTACCACCCAGAACACATCTTCATTGTAAGTTAACCATGAAGAGACAGGCCATTCTCCCCCTTTAATAAAAAGGTGGACACTCTAAAAAGTTAACTCACTTTACTCAAAGTCATATAGTTAGAACTGGGTAGTAGGGTTATAATATATAATATAGGATTGTAATATATACCAGCTAAAGTAATAAAAAAAACCTATCATAATGCCAAACAAAAACACTTAAAGGTATTTTCCTTCTTATTATAGTTTCATAAGATTATAGAGGTATTTATATCACTTATTTCTTTCAAACATTTAGCTTTCCATTTCATTACAAAATGTGGCTTATAGCAGGATTTTCTCTAGTGGAGGGCTACTGGGTATTTCATTCAAAGCCTGGAGCAGGCCCCATGTCCAGGAGTAGTTGACAAGAATAAACAGACTTTTTGCTTTTTATGGGTCCTCTTTGTCTTCTCTTGGTAATTCTTTTTGTCTTATTAGGAAGGCTTGTTTGATTGCTTTTTTTTTCACATTTATTTTTAGTGATGTTGTTATTGGCTTTAAGATGAAGAGATGAAGAAAGAGGGAAATGAGAGAGAACATAAAATTGGGTGAGTAGAGGTAGGGTATAATGGGGTAAAGTTGAGGGAAGGGGGCTTTGATAAAAATAAACAGTAAAATAAACACATGATAGAATTAATAGAATATTTAAGTGAAAGCTTTGCATAAGCACTAAAATGATCATTTTCCTTTAAAGCTGTTCAATAATAAAGAGAAAAATCATCATTGCTGCCCTAACTAACCCTGTTTTTGTTGCTTGGCATCTGTACAACTAATCACGCAAACAGTAGAAAAATGAGTATGGCAAAGTAGCTACTGCACCAAAGATAAAAGTAATTTAAAGGTAGGGAAATTTAGGTACCATTGATTCTCTTCAATTATAGAATTTCTATTAAAAGGGTGTCTGAATATATTATTCTGTGAACAATGTTCAAAAGCCACATTGTTTTACTGTCACACATTCCCTACGGTAGCACCACAGGGTAAAAACTCTGTCATAATAAACAGTTTACCAAGACAAATTAATTAAGCAGAAAATTACTCACACATATACTGCCTGATATCATCTGGCATCATCTAAGCCTAAACACCATTCCCTTGGTGATCTGTAATCTTCGATTTTATTTCCCTTTTTTATTTTTACTTTTTTAAAAACAAAGTTTTAGCTTTAAGTGTTTATGTTCATGTGAGATAATTGAGGCTACTTTGAAAAACGTAACATTAATTCAAATAAAAATAAAATACTATGTTATGTAATTTTGAAATGTATCTGACTATTGAGGTTTTATATATTGGATTTTTATCCTATAGTATTATAGAATATATATTGGTTCTTAACAGCATAAAGGAAAAACCTCTATAAATCAAACGTCCAAGGTGTCCAAGGTGGCCACTTACACCAGAAAAGAATAATGTTGACTTTATTCACTTTGACATACAAAGTCCACAACTTATTGATGTTTGTCAGTCCTCCCATGAGCATTTCAAGTCAGTCCTTCTCAACATCAACACGCTAAGCACCCTTTCATATAACTTTTAAAAACTGGAAAAAAAAAAAAAACAGGACATTTTGCTGCAGATGCATATTCCAGAACGACACTTCAATCTTATGATGTCAAGATGGGTTTTCCTTTGTAATAAAATAATAATGTTGACACTAATAATCTGTTGCCACTCTTGTTAAATAAAGCTACTTTTTCATGTTAAATAAAACATGTTTATGTGGTAAACTATAGTATGGAAATTTATGCTCATAGATTTATAAATATCTTCAAAGCTCATCTATCTGTGCACAACAAAAGGAGCTTTCTTATCTTTACAATGTTAATTCCTTATTTAGACTAACTATAACTTAAGAATTCCTACCCTCAGCAAAACATTTAATAATTTCACCCCCTTCCTTATGAGCCAAATTGTGTTTCACCAGGATGGTAATTATTATTACTTTTATTTCAGGTTTTCTTTTATGCTGCTATGTGAAATTGTTTCTGTGGTGCTCAGACACAATAAAACAACTGAAACCATGAGCAAAATATGCATTAGAGTCACTTGCAACTTGCAATATTTGTGAAGTTACACAACAAAGTACCAGACTACTAAACAAGGCACAATACTATTCAGAAATTTAAAAAAAAAATTCTCTAGATTTACATTAATATCTCTCTATTGACATACATATAGCAACATAGTTTCCATGTTTATCATTCCTGAAGGTAGAGCTTGAGGTGTTTTCCCAAGTACTGTCTGATTTTCAACAGAATACAATGTAAAAATTTTATTTCCAACAGTATCTTCCATGCTAGTACCTTCCTTTTGCCAACATTTTTCTGCAATCACAACATACGTCAAATTTCATAATCCCCGTTCCAATGGGACGAAAAAGAAACTGTCACACTATCTTTCTCTTTTCAAAAGGCCCTTCATGCTTATGTGCAGTTACAGCCTCGGACGAAATGTTGCCAGCTCATCTTACCTCTGTCGCTGAAGTCATCGACTAGAACGATTTCTGCGATCAGACTCTGTGGGGTTCGGTTAATTATGCTGTGTACAGTCCGTAAGAGCGAGGTCCAACCTTCATTGTGAAATGGGATAATGATGCTGGTGTTTGGCAGCTTTTCAAGATACATCTTGTGCTTACAGCTGGAGAAAATAGAGAAGAAAGAGATGCCCAATGTAACACTGTAACACATGTCAGACTGTAGTATATTCCTTATGACATAGGCAATGATAAAATCATGGATTTGACTAATACCTTCCAACCACAGATCTTGAATTATAATGAGATCTCATTCGTGAATCTTTATTTGATCATTCTCATTCTCACTTTAAACAAGTATTTGTATGCGGGTGGCTAAATATTTCAGCATGTTGAAAATTGTATTTCTGATAAGATTAATAGGTCAGATGGTTATGTAAGTCTGTGAAAGGGCATGGGTGACTCTCTGTGTTGGGGAAAGGGTGGTGTATATATATTTGCTTGTGTATATGTGTGTGTGCCTGCCTTTGTAGGAGCCCAGGGTTGGTGCTGGAATGTCCTCCTCTATTTCTCTCCACTTTTTGTCTTTTATTGAGAATGGGTCTCTTACTGAAAGTGGACTATGTCCCATTCCAAGTAGAGTGGCTGGCCAGAGCATCCCTGGTCCACCTTTCTTCACCCTTCCAGAACCAAGGTTACTGGAAGGTTCTACTGTGTCCTGCTATATATGTGGATAGTAGGGATCTGAACTCTATTCATGTTTTCATAGTATGGACTTTTCCCACTGAGCTCTCTCCCCATACCCCCCATACTTTTATTTAATAAAAGTAATTATAAAACAACAACTATTTTAAATAATTTTCATGAAAGAAATGATTAGGATTTAAAAGGGATTCATGAAGAGCTCAGTAAATTAATTTTTAATAATTCTGTTTAATTATTTAGTTTTGATCATGGTATGTTTCATTAGCTTGGTGATATATATATATATGAAATATTGTGAGATGAAATTATATACATTAAATGAAAATTTAATTGTAAATGTCCATTTACTTCATATAGACCATATATATTTAATATCTGAATAAAGACAATATTACACTCCTCATGGAAACTTTAAAAAGAAATCCCAGAATGAGATTTTATTTCAGCAGAATCTGAAAAAAATAACTTTACCTGTATTCTTACATAAACTACTAATTAAAAAATCTATGATGTCCAAATTATTTGTCTATCAAGTATATGTAAATATGTTTAAATAATGGAAAAAGTTTGGAAAACCATGCAAATTATAGCAAGATATAAGCACTGAAATATTTAAAAACATGAAATTAATGTACAGTAACTCAAAAGACAAAAAAGGATGTATGTCAGCAATTTCTAATGGAACAAAATGAAGTAGATGACTGCATGGAATGATTAAATGTGGAAAGGAGAGCTGTGTAATTCTGCACTTGTCATATTTATGCCTTCTGAATAAAGCCAATAGCCCAAAAAAACTGTGCTTGTATAAATCCATCCATAATTACGCAGGGTAATTAACCCAACTCTCATGCTCCACAGTGTTCTTAGAATGCAAATGATAGTTCAAAGAAAATAAAAGATTTTCCAAAAATTAAGACAACATTTTGTTCATATCAACTTCTTATTAATTAAGCAAAAAGGATATTCATGTTGTATTCTCTAAACAGCAGGCTCATGATACTAAAAAAGAAAGTCCCTAGACTTCCAAAGTCCAATAAAAACACAAAGATGGCACAGAACTATGTAAGAATACTTTAATGTCATACAAGCTCTTACTCTTAAAAATGCTTCCAATAGATGTACAGATTTTAGTAGAATTATCTTATGTTATATGTCTATATGAGTGAGTATATACCTGTGTGTCTTTCTGCTTCTGGGACAGCTCACTCAGGATGATCCTTTCCAGGTCCCACCATTTACCTGCAAATTTCATGATTTCCTTATTTTTCATTGCAGAGTAATATTCCATTGTGTAGATATACCTCCCCCTGAGAGGGGAGCAGCCTTACCAAGCCACAGAAGATGATAATGCAGCCACTCCTGATGTGATCTGATAGACTAAGATCAGAAGAAAGGAGAGGAGGACCTCCCTTATCAGTGGACTTGACGAGGGGTATGCATGAAGAAGGGAGAGGGAGGAGTTTATAGGGGGATATAAAGTGAATAAAGTATAATTAATAAAATAAAATTAAATTAAAAAATGCTTTTAATAATCTCTATTTGCATAAACTCAAAGTATTACCACACATGAAAAATTAAAGTTCTCTTTCTATTTATTTATTCACTCAGTGATTGCCAATGGGTCATGGATACTAAGCAGTGAGCATTTATATTGGTGAACTTCCACTTTGCTTTGATTTGATTATAACTGTCTTGGCTATTTACCTGAATTTTGTTGTTGTTTTTATAGAAATCCAGTTATGGAATGTCAGACATAGAAAAAAACAATTAGATATTTACAAAGGGTTGTTTTTTGAAGAGTTTGCAGCTATTTTAAAAGACTGAGCCTTAAAGGTGTTTGAAATTTTAAAGACTATGGAACTTTCCTGGGAACAAACGGAAAAGGAAAAACTTTAATTAAATAGTTATGTGTTTCTGTGCTGGCCCATTATATGTCAGCTTGACACAAACTAGAGCATTTAGGAAGAGAGAGTCTTAATTGACCCCTGGGCTAGTTGTCTTGGACACTGTAAGAAAGCAGTATGAGCAAGCCAAACACAGCAAGTCAGAAATCAGCACTCCTTCGTGTCCTTCAAAACAACTCCTGCCTCCAGGTTCCTGCTGTGTTCCTGTTCCTGCCCTGACCTCCCTCAGCAGTGGAGAATGCACTGAAAGTTGTAAGCTGAAAAAAACAAAAAAATTTGTTAGCAGCATCTGTAGTGTTACAGACATGCTTACTATTTTAAAGGTATTCCTCTTAAATGCCAAATCCTGTAGAGAATGAGGTAGGGTATTCAGAGACAGTCAGAGACAGAGTAAAGGAAAGTGGAGTCTCAGGATAGAAAGAAAAAAAGAATAAATTACAATCTCTTCCCTTAAGGGTTCACCAGACCAGGAGACAGACATAAAAGATGACTGTACTCAAATAAGACAAGTGACTTAATAAAGAGTGCACAGGAAATGGGAGCCTGAAGGAAGTGTGACTAAGTTTGTCTGAAAGGATTAGGGAAGCCTTTATAGATGGGTGTGTATGTTGAAAACAGATCATATAATATTTTGAAAGAGATTCTAAGGAATTTGGACATTACCCTCTAGTCAATGTGAAGTATTTCAAATATCATTAACCACAAGGAAGACAGGACTGTGTTTACATATTCCTCTGGCTGCAGGGTAGACAATGCTTCAAAGACAGAAGAGAATAAACAAAGAAAGATTATGGATCATAATAGTTTGGCAAAAAAAAAAAAATAGTGAGACTGTTAATCTAAGTTTACTTTACTCTAAAGACAACCGGTCTCTTTGTAATGTTATGCAATCTAATAGAATTATATTTTGTTATTTGGTCATTTTAGCACTTAATAGAAGATTGAATTCAGCAGTGAGCAAATATATTTGATTTGAGAGGTTGTGATGTACATGACCATCCTCAGCATTGGCTAGAACTACAGTGGCATCTCAGGCTTTACCAAGAATTTGGATCTCTGTGTTTATGGTTTGATATTAGATTAGGATGAAAGTTTGTTAAATAACCATGTCATAGTTACACAATGACACAGTTACCTATGTGTAAGTATGACATAGCATTTAAAATCTAGATAGAGGAGAGCTGGCCACAAGTCAGTGGTAGAGCATAGGCATTATATGTAAAAGTCACTGGGTTTATTTCCCAGATACATAAAAAAATTAAAATAATAAGCTATTAAAATAAAATTAAGTAAAACAAATTTAGTTTAGGTATATAAATACTTATCATGTTTATCCACACAAAAATCAGCATAATTGAAAACATTTGTTGGGATAAATTTGTATAAATTTGGGATAAATATCTCTAATGACTTTATTTTAATTTATTATTTTCAAAATGAAATTAAGATTTAGGAATGGTTTAGGGATGGGGACATCTTTGTTGAGCAACACTATATAATTGGATAAAATCTCTATTTACAATTTTTTAAATGTCCTCAAAAATGAAAAAGAGTTTATTTTCCTTAACAATTTAGTTTAGAAAAACAGCAAGTGTTGAAGACATGCAAAATGCTGACAAAACTTCAAATTAGTCTGCAAACATTCTGCTGTGACTTTCACAGCAATGCAAATAAACATCAATGGTAAATTTCTCACTCTCTTATGTTTTTCTAAAACAGAACGCACAAATAGTTTTGATAGCTTAATTTTGGCCTTGCAAAGTGAGATATTTTAAAAAGAATAATTGAAATAACAGCATTGCATACTTGAAAACATACATAACAATCATTACATTCATTTTATACTAATTTCTTATTTTATTTCTTTCAAAGAGATAGCCATTAATTTCATAATGTTCCACAGAACACTTACAATATATACTACTCAGCTATTAAAAACAAGGAAATCATGAAATTTTCATACAAATGGATGAAACTAGAAAAGATCATCCTGAGTGACGTAACCCAGACCCACAAAGACACAAATGGTATATACTCATTTATATGTGGGTATTGGCCATATAGTTCAAGATAAACATATTCCAATTCACAGACCCAAAGAAGCTGAGTAACAATGAGAACCCAAGGGAAGATGCCTAAGTCACACTCAGAAAGGGAAACAGAACAGACAATGGAAACACTTTAAGAGCAGGAACAGCCAGCGTAGGAGAGGGAGCACGAAAAGAAATGAAAGTGGAGTCCCCCTCATATCCACCCAGGAGCCTACCCTGACTAAAGCCTCCAGCTTGTCACAGAGATTCCCCCACCCTCAGTTTCTCTTTTCTCTATGGGTCTCTTGTTCTATCACCCTACCTGCCCGGGGTCTGATCTTTACTCTTTTAACTCTCTGCACCCTCTGTTCAGTTACTACCTCTGTCTATTATCCTTTTCCAAGTGAGATTTATGCATCTTCCCTGGGATCCTCCTTGTTTTTTATTTTCTTTGGGTTTGTGCCTCATAGTATGCTTATACTGTATTATATGGTTAAAATCCCCTTATAAATGAGTACATAACTT